ACACGGTATAATAATGAACCAAATAACTGTCTTCTCAGTTAAATTGCAGCGACATAAACAAATAGAAAATACTGGGTTTTCCAGTATACGCAACTAGAACCAATTACTGAATGAACAGTTATTTTTGACAGATTGACTTTACGGACAGTTCGGTAATGCAAATTATTTCTGTGATGATTACTGGGCGATCCGCAATTCAAAAACCCAGTAAAATTTTACTGACTCCAGTAATCTAAAGTTAGTGTGTAGATTTTAATAAGTATATTAATCAAATCAGAGAAATCAGCGAAATAAAGGCGCATCATCGAGCTCAATGAGGTTTTCTGAGCACATAATTTGACAACCCGTTTTATTCAGCATTGTACACTGTTATAAAGCATTTATTCAATCTATATGCTTATTTGTGACTCTGAATTGTTTGTTGAACAGTGTTGTGGAATAATGAATATAATACGCCGTTTATAAAGCATTTACAAAGCATGCAATTAAAACATGGACGCATAGTGGTATAAGAGCTATTTTGCTGGCTGAATTCACCTTTATACAGCAATATTGTAAAACAATGCAATGAAATCTAATAATGGAGCTACACACAAAGAAAAATCGTTTCTAAAATTAAAAAAACCATTGGTAGAATTGAAAGTTTGCATTGGTTCTTTTTGGTAGAAAGCGGTTAGCTTTCAAAGCGATAGTCAGCAAACTGTCAAATCAAAAGTTGCTCGCTAGCAACTTTTAAAAGTTAAAACTTTCAAAAAGAATTGTACTTCTGTCAAATTAAAAGCGTGACTGTGTTAAAATTAAAGGCGGAATATTGTTCATGTAAAACATATTTTTGACTTGAAAATATGGTATAGTTGAAATGACATATGTGTAATTTTGAATTTAAAATATAATATTTTCAAAAACAAAATAAGCAATTTTCAAAATAATAAAATTTATTTACTTTTCATAAATATTACATAGTGTTTTTATAAGAAATAAATCGAGAAAACAATACAAAAAGATCCAAGAATATGTGTTATCGATGGTGATGCTTTCGTTTACGTCTTGGCCTCGGTCTTGGAGCTGTCTTCACTTTGAGAGGAACCACAATGTTCAAGTGCGACAGCGATAGGCTCGGTGATAGGTGTATGGATAGGTACAGAAGAAGATGATCCAACAAATAACATCGTGATCGGTTCCTGGTCCATTTTCGTCTGACGTCAGATATTGAATCGGACCGTCCTTGGCGAGGAAAGTTTATAAAAATTAGTAACACACTTTGCATCTACTGTAAACAGTCGTTGATTACTCACTTGCATTCTGAGCCGTTTCATCCTACTTTCAGGGGGGTTGATGATTTCCAGTGTTCGCTTTTCATCTTCAGTGGGTTGAGTTGAATATTTTCGTTTAACCGAGGATCACGTTGCTTTCCTTGAGGAAATCGATGAGTTGTACTGATGGCATCGCTCTTACCTTGGGTTCTGCAAAAATATCCAGAACATTATTCAATTGTGTTCTCAAAATTGTACTTACAAACAAAAACTCACATCGATTGGAACAGCGCAACAATGTGTTTCCCGGGGAGATCTTTTGATTTGATAGTATGTTTTTCCGTTTTACCTGAAATTAAATTATTAAACTCATATTTTTATATGTATTGTCATTTCATCTTACCTGTAGCGAATGTTTTCCGCGGAAGCTGCTATAATTACTTGTAATTGATGAATTGATTAAAGTTCCGTCCCAGTTTATTCTACCTCTTGGTCTGAGTGACATCGGTTCAAATTCAGCGGCAAAAAAAGGCACAGTGTTGCCAAAAACTTTGTTATGAATTGGTATTTTTGACAGTTTAACAACTTTTATTTCAAAAATATGAACTTTTAAAATTACAAGTCGAAAGTGAAAGAAAAACTTTTAAACAAACAAAATTACATTCATTTCGAATATTTTCGAAGTTAAAACAACGAAATTCAGGAAACTTTTAATTTGAAATTGCAATATTTTTATAAGAACCATTTTTATTTTTTGTGTGTAGGAAACATTTATAAGATGTCTAATAAAGCATTTTATTAAATCAATTGAAAACAGTCGAATAAGAACGACAATGTATGTGCAAATTACACTTATTCAGTTTGTTATTAGATCAAACCTCTGGTTCTGAATCAGGAAGACATTCAACGTTTATAAAGCTTTTAATAAGTAAATTAATCATATCAGTGCAAACGGCGGAATAAAGGCGCATCTATCGATCTCAATGAGCTTTTTTCAGCACATAATTCGACATCTTGTTTTATTCAGCATTGTACACTGTAATACAGCATTTATTCAATGAGTATGCTTATTTGTGAATGTGAATTGTTTGTTGGGCATCGATTAACTTTTCTTTTGATTTTTGAAGTAAATATATGTATACAACTCCCCTAAAATTTTGGTTTGATTCTAAACATTATAAGAAAATTGGCATAACATTTTCGGTGTCGCAATAATTTCGTGTTCGCCCTTTATTATTTTATTTTTTTGATAAATAAGTCAGTAAATTCATCAACAATGTTTTCATTTCATTATTTGTTTGGGTTCATACAATTATAATATTTCGGATTTATAGCTATGTGTATTTGGGGACGGAGTTTAGTGGCGGATTAGCAGTAATGCTGTTTTAACTAGTCCAGGAAGAGCGGTCAGAGCTTCACGGTGGTTTAGCCGGGTGGTGGCTCTTTCGATGTGCCGGATTGCGTGCTTTATAACAGGAAATTTTAGTGAAATTTCTTTCTTCAAACTAACTTGAACATCTGAAAGTCAATGCATGAGTGCAGAAACTGATCAATTTTGTGGTAGTTTATGCGCTCTTGTGTTGACTTCCAGATGTTTCACTGATTTTCACAATGGTTTCCTGTTTTCACGAGAAGATTTCCGACGTCAAGTGCGTGAGGTTGAATGGAGGAGGATGACATAAGAAATTTGCTTTACTGTCAGTATCAGCAATGTTGGAGTTTCGTTTGATGACTGCTCCAGTAAAACATAACGAATACAAAAAACTCGGTACTCTATTTTACTAAGTTTTAGTCATTATCCGCAAAGCTGTTATTTTACGATAAGTTCAGTTCTTACTCTTACCGTATTCATTGGTTTGTCGCAAGAGCTACTGATCGTCAGTTGTTTTATTGAGAATAGCTGTATGTTCGGTAATTTTTGTGATTTACAGTTCGAAAACTGTAAAAAAAATTACCGAACAGGGAAGCCGTGATTAAGTGTGTAGGGCCCTCGTGTTGCTTCAACAGAGGAAGCAGACGCTTCTGTAGACACTCCTTGAGGTACATCTCCCCGTTTACAGTCCCGGTAGTCACGAACGGCACACTCCGTTTGCCACATGAGCAGATCGCTTGCCAAATCATGTATTTCTTGGCAAACTTTGAAAGTTTCTACTTCATTCTGATGTGTGCCTCGCCTCGTGCAGTTATATTTGCAGCAAGTGATTTCGAAAATTTATAAGAAAACAGTGGCAGAATAAGTGTGTGAACAGCCGATTTTCGACCAAAAAGTTTAAGTGGAACGGATTGCAAGGAGGTCGAGTGGTTCCGGAGGGCCGGATGGCCGAACCGGCCGATCAAAAGGGCTGCGGTGGTTTCTAAAAGAGAAGAAGAAAAACTAGCTCTAACCTAGAAAAAGTTAAGTGTCGGTGAAGAGTTTGATTCCGTAAGGTGTCACGGGGCAATAAGAATCATTCAAGAAATACATAGAGAAGGAAAAATATAAATTAAGTGAAGTGGCATTAGGATTTATGTGAAGAGAAGATAGCAATTAAACGAAGAAAAGTAGAAGATAAAAGACGAAAGAAAAATCAAAAAGCAATCCGCAAAGAATTCAAGTGAAAGAAAATGAGCACGAAATCGCAAATTGAAACAAGGAAGCAGTACAAGAATAAGGAGGTGAAAATGACGGCAACGGCGAAGGTCAAAACAGGACAAGGTCCAACGGTATCGAAAGGAGGAGGAACATCCAAAGCAACAGAACACGGAAAAAACCCAGGAAACCGCAGCAACCAGCAGGATAACCAACAAAACGCCACGGTGTACCTGGAGCCATGGGACTACGAGAAACTTACCATCAGACACCCAGTCAGTGTGGGTAAAGCCCTATCCAGTAAGGGATTCAAAACCTACACCAATATCACGGCGATTGGCAGGTTTCGATTCAAGGTATCGTTCGGAGCACCACAGGAAGCCAAAAAACTAATGGAGATCAACATGGAGGAGCTAAACCTCAAGTGCTACGTCCCGATAATCCTCAGGTGGGTTTGGCTAAAGGAATACCGAGAGATTACAGCGAGCAAGAATTGATGGAAGATCTGTTGTCGGAGGGCGAAATCATCAAAGTGGAAAGGATGAAGAAAATGGATAGGAACAAGAAGCAAACGGATACGGAAAACGTCAAAATCATCTTTCGAGGAAAGCACCTACCAGACAGCGTGTCGCTATACGGATGCAGGTTCAAGATTGAACTCTACCTGTTCCCGGTGAAGCAATGCTCAAACTGTTGGGGATTTGGACACCGGAGAGAAAAATGCTGGAGGACAACAAAATATAAGGAATGCGGCGTTCAACACGAAGACAACAACTGCAGGCAGAAAGCATGCATCAATTGCGGAGGTCCGCACAGTCCGACGGATAGCAAGTGCCCAGAGAAGGAAAACAGGTACAAATCAACGCGGGAATGCAGTTGGAAAAATTGACGTACAAGGAAGCAAACGAGAAATGGAGACAGGCTAATCAGTTCGACTTGCTGTCGAATTTCGACGAGGAATTTCCAGATATGGGTGAGCAGCGAGACGAGCAGTCTCGCGCGCAGAGAAACGCAAACAGCAGTCAATACAAGTTCGTGTGGAAAAAAAAAACAACAGAACACCACAGCAAACGACGCCAGGCGACAAACAAGGAACTTACGCAGATAAAGTAAAGCAAAAGCAACACCAACGACAGTTCACAGAAAACCCACACAAAGCAACAGTTTTGGAAAGGACGATGATGGAGCTGAAGCATTTCTGGAGAAACCTGAATCTAGTCAGAAAGCTGATGAGACTGCAATCAGCAATCAATGCGGAGGTGGTTGGTCAGGCAGCCTCGGAAGTCAACCTGGAGGAAATACTCATAAGGGTAAGTTCCACACTGAACGAAATCATACAAGAATTCATGGAAGATCTAGCGGAGTGTATGGAATCGCCCAACAAGGAAACAGAAGAGCCCCTAACACACAATGATGGATAATTTCAAGATCATGCAATCCAACGTACAATCATTAAGGCCCACCGAAACACGAGAAGAACTAGCGGTCTTCCTGAATAGAGAAAAAGTGCACATTGCAAGCCTATAGGAGATATGGATCAAGCCAACGGAAAACTATAGAATAAAAGGATTCAGCATCGTCAAGAAATGCAGAGAAGAAGGATACGGAGGTGTTGCCATTCTCATCAGAGATGACGTAACATACGAGGAAGTGAAGCTCCCTAACTTCGATCCGATAGAAGCGGTTGCCATAAAAACAAAAAGTATAAGCACCAACTTCACAATACTTTCGGTGTACATTCCACCGGATCAGAGCCTAATTAAAAACGAAGTGCTAAAAATCAAAGAAATTTTTAATTTTATCGAAGGTCTAGATGGTGAAGTCATCCTTACTGGTGACTTCAACGCCAGACATCCAATATGGGAGAGCGGGGCAAAGCCATGTGTAAAAGGCAAGGTGATAGCTGAAGAGGTTGTAGCATCGAAAATGGTGCTGCTCAACGACGGAAGACCAACAACGATCCCACGCATAAACGCAGAACCAACGGCGATGGCTTCTGGATACATAGCGAGCATCACGGAATGGGAAGTAGTAGAAGAGGAGTTTGGAAGCTGTCACACGAGCATAGTAATGGACCTGCAACTAGACGTACCTACAGTGCCCGGAAAGCGAACCAAGGTGAACAAAAAGAAGGCAATTGAGCTCCTAAACAGTATACAACCCCAATTTCTATACAATCCCGAAAAAAAGCAGAATGTTTTCGAAGAAAACATTAGAAAAGCCAGCTATACCATAACAAATAAGAAATCGAACTATCTTAAGCGATGGTGGAACCAGGACATACAATCAGCGTACAACGAAAAGAGGGAACAACTGAGAATCTACAACCGGAACAAAACGCTGGAAAACCAACTTAAAATGCAGAAGGCAAGGGCGGTGTTCAAGAGAACAGTAAGAAAGGAGAAAAGGAAACACGACACGGAACTAAAGGAGAAAATCGACGAATCGACGCCGGCTAAACAGATATGCAACATCATCAGAGGTCTAGATACGGCTTTAACAGGCAACAAAAGAGGGGCGGACACGAACCCGTCTAAAGAGATTGCAGAGAAGTTCATAGGGATGAACTACGAACAAAAAAAGGCGGAACTGAACACTCATAAACTTATCTTAGGACTGAGTACGGACGAGGAAGTAGAAGCACCACTCCAGTTCTCGGAATTCATGCGAGTTCTCAAGAGCAAGAAGGACCACTCGGCGGCAGGCATGGACTACATCTCGTACCACATCCTGAAAGGATTAAGATGGGAAATCCTAATGGAAGTTTGCACACAGCTGGATCGAGTCTGGAGAACCAACAACATACCGGTAAGATGGAGACAAAATAAACTAGTTTTAGTTCAAAAGCCAAACAAGGACAAAAATGATGTAGCAGCAAAACGAGGGATCGTTCTAATGAACGTGCTCCTGAAGACAATAAGCACTATAGTAAAGGACCGACTATACAAATACGCGGAGGATAACAACATATTTCCAGAGCTCTCCTTCGGTTTTCGTAAGAACTACTCGGCAATAAGCTGTGTAAATCATGTAATCAACTCGGTGAAGGAAGCCAAACAGGCCAAACAGTATGCCTTAGCGGTATTCCTAGATCTGGACAAGGCATTTGACTCGGTGAACTGCCAGACCCTACTAGCAACACTAGCACAGGAAAAATACCAACCAAAGCTTTCGAATGGATATTCGAGTATCTGAAGGAGCGACAGCTTAATATTTTGTCCAGTTCGCAGATGACTTCACAGTATTCGTTTCAGGAGATGGTCCGGAAATAATTGGTAGAGCAAATAGATTCCTGCAAAAGCTAACAACAAAACTAGCCACACTAAACCCAACAATCAATACGAAACTAACGATTTTAAATTGGCTCACCACTTTAGTAGCCTATTGGTCCCAGGCAAACGATTAACGTACCCTATTCTAATTGAAATTCTATTACTACACTATGTTTGTTTTGATTCGCTATGAAAGTTTGACAGATAACATCAGGGGTGTGTGGATTCATGCAGAACATGCAGGGGTGAGTGAAATAGCTTGGGACTGCTTGGGACCGTTGTTCTGGTACTGAGTGAGCCAAAAATAATAATGATTTTCTTCGGGACCCAGTGGTCTTAGAGTTACCTCTATACTAAACCTATCGGTAAATCCTACAAAATGCGCTGCGATCAATTTCAGCAAAATCAAGGACGAAAACATAAATATAAAAGTCGAAACACAGATACTTGGGCTATACGGTAGATCGAGGACTAACTCACAGAAAACACATAGAGACAGTATCCAACAAAGCAAGCAAGAGCATAAATATGCTCAAGATGATAAGTGGAAAAAGGAGTCCAGCTAACCCAGAAACGATGCTAAAAATTGGCAATGCATTAGTAAGATCGAAAATAGAATACGGGGCTTCAATATATGGGAACGCGGCTAAAACGAATGGGCAAAAAGTAGAGACTGTACAAAATTCCTTTGTGAGAGTAGCGATGAGATATCTAAAAAGCACACCGGTAAATGTAATGTTGGCAGACTGTGGGCAATTACCGATGGAAAACAGACTAGAATGGTTAGCACTAAAGGAAACAATTAGGACGTCACACGACACGAACCCCAAAAGGAAAATTACAGCAGAGGCATTGAATAACAAAAACAGCAACGGCTCCTTCATCTCAGACCTGGCATACGAGCACAGTGAGGTTATCCAACAGCTATCAACCAATCCGGAGAACGTCCGGCAAATAATTCGACAGCTGGAAAACAAATCGGCGTGGGTGAAGACAGGGATACCAGGAGTGGACAACAAAAAAGACAATATCAGCCCAGAACAATGGAGAGGAGCCGCAAACGAGCTTGTGCAAACAACGTACGGCAAGGTCAAGAAAATATTCACGGATGCATCCAAGAATATCAACGGGACAGCGATCGCGGCAGTAGACTGGACGGACAAACTCTACAAAGCAGTAAAGATCAACGTCAACACGAGCATAATGAACGCGGAATTGATAGCAATTCGCAAAGCAATATCAATAGCCGAGAGCAAAGACTATCAGGAAGTGGTCATCATCACGGATTCGAAAAGTGCATGTGAGGCCCTGAAAAACAAAGAAAAATGCAGAACAAACCACATAGTAAGAGACATCCTGGTAATAAGACAGCGATTAGAGGAATTCGAAAAAAAACGGTTAGCATTCAGTGGATCCCCAGCCACGTAGGGATTCAGGGTAATGAGTTTGCAGATAGGTTAGCAGTACAGGCGACTTCCAACACAGCATCAAATGAAGAAAAACTCACGCTGGGCGACACCCTAGCATTAGCTAAAAAAGGCATCTGGAAAAAGTGTACCAGTAACTACCAAAACATTTCTTTGACCAAAGGAGTTAAACATTTTGAGTTCGTCAAAGAACCCCTAAGGATACCATGGTGTAAAGGGTTAAATCTCACAACGGAGGAAAAAATCACCCTCAGTCGTATAAGATCCAACCATGTGATGACAAAAGAGAGGAATTTCAAATGGAAATGGGAGGACGACGAAATGTGTAAAGGGTGATACGGTCAAAATTTGGTCAATATCAACTTGACGTATTTCTTTCAATTTTGCATTTAAAAAACCTGAACACTCCTCATTTTGAAGGTGTGTGTGTGTGTGGAATGTTGCTCCTATTTTGATTTTGGAATTCACTCTTCAGTTGTCAAAATGCCGTCCAAGCAAGAAGAGCAGCGTATCAAAATTTTGCTCGCGCATCGCGAAAATCCGAGCTACTCGCACGCAAAGTTGGCAAAATCACTAAAAGTTGCCAAATCAACCGTTACAAATGTAATTAAAGTGTTTGGGGAACGTTTTTCGACAGCCAGGAAGTCTGGATCGGGGGGAAATCGAAAACCGGAAGCCGCTGAGACGACAAAGAGAGTTGCCGGTAGTTTCAAGCGAAACCCTAACCTCTCTCTCCGAGATGCCGCAAATAAGCTGGGTGTATCGTCTACAACCGTGCATCGAGCCAAAAAACGAGCCGGACTATCGACTTACAAGAAGGTAGTGACTCCAAATCGCGATGATAAACAAAATACGACGGCCAAAGCGCGATCCCGGAGGCTGTACACGACAATGCTGACGAAGTTTGATTGCGTGGTAATGGACGACGAAACCTACGTCAAAGCCGACTACAAGCAGCTTCCGAGACAGGAGTTTTATACGGCAAAAGGAAGGGGAAAGGTAGCAGATGTTTTCAAGCACATGAAACTGTCAAAGTTCGCAAAGAAATATCTGGTTTGGCAAGCCATCTGTACCTGTGGCTTGAAAAGCAGCATTTTCATAGCTTCCGGGACTGTCAACCAAGAAATTTACGTGAAAGAGTGTTTGAATAAACGTCTGCTGTCTTTCCTGAAGAAACACGGTTGTTCCGTACTGTTTTGGCCGGATTTGGCATCTTGCCATTACGGTAAAAAGGCCATGGAGTGGTACGCCGCCAACAACGTGCAGGTGGTTCCCAAGGACAAGAACCCTCCCAACACGCCAGAGCTCCGCCCAATTGAGAAATACTGGGCTATTGTCAAGCGGAACCTAAAGAAGACCAAACAAATTGCTAAGGGCGAGCAGCAGTTCAAGGCAAACTGGCTTTCTGCGGCGAAGAAGGTGGACAAGGTGGCTGTACAAAATCCGATGGCAGGGGTCAAGCGTAAGGCCCGGCAATTCGGATTTGGAAAAGCGGAAGCCTAACTGAATATTTTTCCTGAATTTTATACTAATTGAACTTGAAAAAGAAATTTAATTTGATTTTTTAAATAAACGATTTCACCGATTTACACGCGTTTTCCCTTGACCAAATTTTGACCGTATCACCCTTTAATCTGTGCGACGAAGTAGAAGACTTGGAACATATACTGTACCACTGCATCAGGTGGCAGCACTCAAGGGCGAAGGCGCAAGTGCTAGATAGCATGAAACCGCTTTCTCAAATATTCATGGACCAAAACATAGACGAGCTGAAGAGTGTAACTCAATTTCTGAAAGATATCAACATGAACATCTGAACCAAACGTATCGATCAGCAAGGCAACCTACAATCAAAGAATCAGCATAAAATACTGAAGACAACCAAAGGCAAGATGGACCAACCCATGGTCTAAGCCTGACATAGCAGACAAAAAAAAAAAGTTTCTACTTCCTTACTTCGTCCGGAACATCAAACTTGTGCTGGGCGGAAGTCCGCCTTAACGTAAGTCTCATCATCCATGATGAAACAATGAAACTTCGTCAGCATCTGGGTGTACATTTTCCGGGCCAGTGACTTCCCCACCGTATTTTGCCGTTCGTTACGATTTGGAGCCTTCTGCACTTTGTACGTATGCAGTCCCTCCCGGTCCTTGGCTCTCTGAATGCAAGACTTGGACAGATTCAACTTTTTGGCCTCATCCCTGACCGAAGCATTGGGATTCCGCTTAAACGCTTTCACGACACGCCTGCGATCCTGATCACTAATAGAACATCCATTCTGACCGCATTTCTCCTTGCGTTCGATGCTCAGAGTTTCGTAGTAACGTTTAATCACACGACTCACCGTTGACTGCACGATTCCGAGTTGTTTTCCGATGTCTCGATGGGAGAGTTGAGGATTTTCCAGGTGTTTGCGCAAAATCAATTCGCGACGTTGCTTTTCGAGTGACGCCATTTTTTCAAACTTCCGAAAAACTTACTGACAGCGATAAAAATACAGTGTAAACAATACACTTTAAACTGCTTCTACTCAAATTTTCAAGAGAAAATACCCAATGGGTAATTATCTACAGCGTTTTTTCCGTGATGCAATTTGATGTGGGACACCCTTTATGACCATGTTCATAAAGCTAAAAATCAGGAAAGACCATCGCCTTATTAAGGTCATTTCCATCAGTCAACCGGTTGCGATAACCCACTAGCAATCATATTCTCGTTTTTTACGTTCAAAGCGTATTTCCATACAAATGAACAAAAAAAAAAAACGATTAGAACGAAAACGAGAATATGGGCGATTTTAACAACCGGGTCAGATTATCGGGAAAACTGTTCGCATCCATAATCTCCCATAGTTCTTCCCGGTCAATAGTATCGTAAGCGACCTCGAAACATGAGTAGATGATGTGCAGAGACTTGATATTTGCAACACTTTTGGAGAATCAGTTATGGCGAATGTCATTCTGCCTAAAGGGGTAGATCCTACCTTAAACTCTACATCCAGAAGAACGTTAGCGAATATGAATATAGGGGCAGTTCGGAAAATTCTTAGTTTTTAGGGGAATAGTGGAGTACCTAATAAGTTCAAGAGGCTTCTTGGCTAAGACCACCAATCTTCCAGCGGAACAGTAACTTTCGGATGAAACGAACAAACGCAAGAGGCTAACTACTTCTATACTTTTTAATGTCAGATTTCTTCATAAGTGTTACCGTTTAGAATTACTGCACTAGAAATAAAAATAGAACGTAAAATTTTGCTTACTCAATAAAAAAAAAATAATTTTACATTACGCATATCTTCAACCCTTGCCAATATGCACTCCCATTGTTGGAGAAATCCGCTTACTAAAAGTTACTTCTCTTTTTCGACAATAATCCTCTCGTGTAAGTCAGTACAGTTTGTTGTAGTAGCAAAGTAAAGTCTATATAAAATATATAAAATTAAAAAAAAAAAAAAACGAGAACAAAACGCATTTGCTTTCTTTAAGCTTTCTTTTACCACTTATTGTTTTTATTCAAGGAGAAATAAAAGAACATATTTGAAACACTTAAAAAATAATCTTACGCCTCATCTATTTTATTATATGCGCGCATTCAAGGTCGCAGCAATGTCTAATAATGGTGGTGTCTACCGTCGTATTGCGATCGGTTTTGCTATCGACCGAAAATAAAATCATTTTTCACAGTGCATACCGTGAACTGGCGTAGCTTATGAGTGACGAGCGTTTGTTGGCTTCTTGTTTTGTAGGTGCTGCCGCTCCGTCTAATAATTCAAACACCATTATCGGCGATACTTTTGTTTCATTTGTATTCGATTAGTGTTTACAGAATGAATTTCATGTCAGTATGTACATACAATTATCTCGTGTATCAAATTTTAATGGGTTTCAATTTGTTTGTTTTCGTTTTTTGTAATTTTCGAATTGCCAATCCTTAATGACGAAACAGGAAGGATTTCGCGATGGATGTCTGTTTGCTGGTGAGATCGATAAGCATGGGCTCATAAGCGAAGGAAAAAAATGTCTTTTTATTGGTTGGAACAGAAAACGGGAACATTTGCTTGGAAAGAGCGGGAAAATTTATACGACAAAAAAAATATGACACTTACGACTTGGTATGATATAACTGCTGCATATTAGATTACTGCTATTTTGTTCTAAAAACTATCTTCTGTTGTTGATGCAAAAATCTACTTTTGATTAATCGATTGTAGACAGAAATAAAAGCCTGAGATGTTTTCTGGTATATAAATGGGATGTTTCTGGCAGAGCACAAGGTGCTCCAGTTTACTTCGGATGTGTAGTGTAGTACGACGATAAAACGGTTAACTTATCCCAGCTGTGTTCGAATGTTTGATCAGCAGTTTGGATATTTAATCAGAGCAAGTAAAATGTAAACATTACTTCTGTACTCTCCGGTGCATTATCAGATAATTAACTAGATTTCCTTTTTTCCGTTTCTCCTTTTCGACTCTATCCTTTCATTCCAGGCCAATCAATGTTAGTCGTTTCTGTCCGGCTTCGCATTCCGCATTTGTGTGTGTGTGTGTGTGATTCAAGCATTTCATGTTCCTTATCACTAGAAACAACTATACGCACTTTTTCTATAGTATTTGCATTGGCTCATTCCAGTTTATCCCTTCTCTTCCTCTCGAAAGAGAGATTAGTTTGTAGGTAGATATTTTCTAACGATAACGGTTTCTGGTTTGTTTGTGTGTGTGTTTCACTTTTACTTAGGAATAACATTTGTTTGTTTGTAATTGATGAAAAGGGAAAGCACCCTTTCGGCTTTCCATTGTATGTTTTTTCTGTTTCTTACTGCTAAGCCCTGCACTCTCAGTTTCATGCTTCATTCCTCCGTTTCTTCATGCGGAAGTCGTAGAAAAAATATGCTTCCTACTCCCGAATATTGCATTGTCCTCCTCCCTTCCGAAGGTCGTGCTCCTAGCTAAGGGTGCCAGCATTTTATCTAACTTAGCTGAACCAGAAAACGAGAGATATAAAATAGTAAATGAAACAAAAACGAAATCCATCTTCACATTGTATGGGACTCCCACGCAGCAACATGAACGGAGGGCGTGTGCATACATCTAAACTACATTGTTGGATCTAGCCGGAAAGGAGGAGCAATGACATGGGTCAACGTCGCCGCGTCGCCATCGACACGGTCTTCCTTTTACTGCAAGGAAGCCGTTTGATCTAACCATCATCCTCGGAAATCAAGTCGTCCTCGTTGATTTCGCAAGTGTTGTCCTGATAGCTGGACAACAGATCGGTAGCGTCCTGGACGCTATCGTCGCAATCCGGCCCGCCGGTGTAGGTTGAGGCCATATCCCAGTCTTCGGTTTCGTTCTCCATGCCGAGGCCGTACACTGCAAAAGGAGATACGGAAAAAGGGGAGGGGAAGAGAATTTAGTAAGATGTTGGATAGTTTTCCGAAATTTTCGGAGATTTTTGTGACTAAGGAAATTAGGGAGTTTCAAAACTTCTGTTCACTAAATTTAAATACAATTTTCCTATCCTATTTTGAAAGAGTACAAACAAAATTTGGGAAGAATTCCCGACATAATTGAAGAATTACCTATGAGCTCTTTGAGAATTTTCAGGAAACAAAATTCTTTATGCGAATTTGTCAAATGTTCCCGAAAAAACGTTTTTATAGATGTGTGTCTCGCACAACCGGTATCAGGACCAAAACGTCACAGAGGAGGTACAGGCTCTCGTGAAGTGGCGCAGGACTAACATTAGAAAAGAGCCTATTTTCGTTCACCGATTTACGATTTTCTCTTCAGCTTGCCTCGGGTAATATAAACTAATTTCTGACTGCAGATCAGGACGTCTGAAGACGTTTCTAGCTTTTATCCGCGCGGTACCATGCTGGCCCAAATGCGTCTGCTTCTTTGAAACGATTCAATAATCTTTGACACGTATCCGTCTGCTCGAAACTGAATGCGTGTACTCGTATGGAGTTGGTGAAAGAACGTGAGAACTATGCTCCGTTTCGCAACCATATGCTTCAAGTTTGATTAAAATCCATTCTGTACAAAAATTACGTTTGATTTTAATCGCCATCTGAAAAAATTGGGCAGTGGGGAAAGATGGCAACCCCACCTAAACTCGAATAAAATTCAACTTGAAAATAAATCTTCTTATCACACAATGATTTTTTGTTTATCTTATTCTTCTTATCTAAAAATCTAAAAATGAAATGGTGTTCGTATGTCACGCTATAACTCGAGAACGGATTGACGGATTTGCAAGATTTTTTTTTTGTTCGTCTTCCCACGTAAACGCGAACCATAACTTGACCTTACCGAAAATGGTTAAAAATTGTTTATAATCCCTGCTAAACTTTAACTGCAATGGTTATAGAACTTTACACGAACGTTTGTGTGATAAAGTTTTAACCTTATGTATTATGGTTCTTTGGAGGTGAACCTTACAAATAATGGGTTGTTGAGAACCATTACCATTCCAAATTCTTGTTTTCTCCATACATTTTCGGAGAGAGCCTGTCGTGGAAGGAGAGCTTAGTCATTCCCGTCAACCCGTGAAGTTAGCAAGTTCCGGCCAATAGCCTTTGACATGCTATATGGCCAAGGTCCTGGAGCGAATGGTCAACAGGAGGCTAAAGCATTTCCTTGAAGCCGAAAACCTGCTAGACCATCGACAGCACGCCTTCCGTCAAGGGTACGGAACGTCAACTTATTTTGCAACATTACGGGAGGTCCTCAAGAGTGCCAACGATAGCGGTCTCCACACCGAGATTGTCTCGCTGGATATATCGAAGGCCTTAAACAGGACGTGGACGTGGCTCCTCGTCTTAGAGTAGCTTGTCAACTGGGGGCTGTGTGGACCCATGATCCACTTCATCAAACATTTCCTGACCGATCGTTCTTTCAGAGTCGCAAGTTGGCAACACGAGGTCCCAGCTTTTCTGAGAAGAGACGGGTGTCCCACAAGGTTCAGTTATCGCCGTTACCGTCTTCCTTGTGGCCATGAACGGAGTTTTCGGAGGACTGCCGAAAAATGTTTACATTTTCGTGTATGCTGACGATGTACTTATCGTAACTACCGGCCCAACAGCAGCACGTAACAGGATCAAGGCCCAGACAGCAGAGACTTCCATGCAAACGCTCTGGAATGTCGTCAGGAGAATGCGTAACGCGGCATCGTCGGTCAACGAGGACAAGAAGTACTCTAACAAGTGGATTTTCGACTTCGCGCGTAAGGTTTGTCCCGATTCGGTTCCGGTTCGATGCAACACTCGCGATCTGCCGCTGGAAAACGATGACATGGACTCCCCGTTTTCGATGGTAGAATTCTCAATTGCTCTTCTTTCATGCAATAACTCGGCTTCGGGAATTGATCGAATCAAGTTCAACCTGCTCAAGAACCTCCCAGAAGTCACAAAGAGGCGATTGTTGAACTTGTTCAATCGATTCCTTGAGCTCAACGTTGTTCCGGATGATTGGAGACAAGTGAGAGTTATCGTCATCCAGAATCCCGGTAAACCCGCGTCGGATCATAATTCGTACCGTCCCATCGCGATGCTGTCGTGTATTCGGAAGCTGTTAGAAAAAATGATTCTTCTTCGTCTGGACAAGTGGGTCGAGGCGAATGGCTTACTCTCAGATACGCAATTTGGATTCCGTAGGGGCAAAGGGACGAACGACTGCCTTGCGTTGCTTTCAACTGAAATCCAATTAGCCTATGCTGAAAAACAGCAGATGGGTTCAGTTTTCTTGGACATTAAAGGGGCGTTTGATTCTTTTTGCATCGACATCCTTTCGGACAAACTCCATGCGAGTGGGCTTTCTCCGATTATCAACAATTTCCTGTTTAATTTGTTGTCCGAAAAACGAATGAGCTTCTCTCATGGCAACACGGAAATTGCACGAATCAGCTACATGGGTCTTCCACAAGGCTCATGTTTAAGTCCCCTCCTGTACAAATGGACCTGCAAGGACCATTGCAAGATACCTTGGATAATTTGTCTACTTGGGCAATGAATCTGGTTATCGAATTCTCTCCGGAGAAAACAGAGATGGTTGTTTTTCTAGGAAGCTTTACCTAGCAAGTTTCAGCACAGTTTTTACGGATAGCCTAAGCTTCCTGGAGGCTATGCGTTCAATGAGGCCGATGAAGCACTCGGCGTATTTCCTCCAGGAAATACGATAGTCATTGAGTGCTTTATCAAACAGCTCGCATGTCATCACCTTGGTATGGGTCCCATTGCTCTATCCCGGGCAATGAGAAAGCGGACTCGCTGGCCAAGGTGGGCGCTATGGAAGGCGATATTTACGAGCGACAAATCGCCTACCACGAATTTTTCACGATTTCTCGTCAGCAAGTCCTCGCCAACTGGCAACAAAAGTGGAATGATGGTGATCTGGGAAGATGGCTACATTCTATTGTCCCACAGGTGTCGATCAAACCCTGGTTCAAAGGGTTGGATATGAGTCGTGATTTTATTCGTGCTCATGTCCAATCACTGTTAAACGCCCACCTCTTCCGTATTACGCTCGCCGACAGCAACTTATGTACCTGTGGAAACGGTTATCACGACATCGAGCATGTTGTTTGGTCCTGCTCCTTGCATCATGAGGCGAGATCCGTTCTGTGTGATTCCCTTAGGGTCCGAGGAAAACAACCCTTTAAGCCAATTAGAGACGTCTTGGCTTGCCGTGATATCGATTTTATGAAGCTTATTTACGACTTTCTTAAAGCTGTTGATGTATGTGTTTAATGTTTTGTGTTTTAGTCATCCTTTACGTTTAAGTTTTAAATTAGTTCAAAATGCTTTCCCTTGTCCTCCCTCCAAATGATCAATAAATGTAATCCCTAATCTCGAGTAAACCGCGACTAATCGGCCCCCGTTCTACTAACATTAGTTGTAAGAAAATGATATTCACACACAATCGTGTAAAAAATATTCGGCTCCGCAAAGCTAACGCATTTGAGCCTCCGCTGTAGCCAGGTGGGGCCAGCGAGGTAGGTTTCCAGCTTTCGGCCCCGAGCTGCTCATTTGCTAATAACTTTGCAAACCGTTTATGGAACATAGTTCTTTTTATAAGCAGTAGATAGAAAATAGTTCAAGCTTGTTATAGATACGTAAAAAACAGTAGACTTTGATTCTAGTAATAAAATGTATTTGTTTTTGCGTTGTAAAAATGAAGTGAGAAATGCTTACTACACATCTCGAACTTTGAGTTTAAAAATTAATTAGTCTTGTTTCAAATGTTAAGCTTTACCTTCTCTTCACATATCTATAGTAAACTATGATCAAAGACATCAAATCAAGAAGACTGGCAACTCTGCCAGAATCCAAGCGACAGATACAATAGCGCTGCGCTTGAGTGAAGGTGGAAGCAACGCATAGAAAAATAAGCAAATACACAAACCTTTATTCTGAGGATGTAATCTTTGCTATCAAATTCGTTCGAAGCATTTACCTTTGAGCGGCAGATGACGCAATTGAACCTGTCTCATAGCGTTCGTATGAGAAAATGGAAGAGTTGCCAGTCTTCTTGATTTGTTGTCTTCGCTATGATCCTAATCTATCAATTACTTGAAAGAAAAACAAATTTCAACAACTGAGTGAAAAGTTATTAACAAATGAGCAGTTGGTGTGTACAACTGTGCATGCCAAGCATGGTCAGCGGGTCACCTATCAAAGTTCAAAGGCAGCCCATACTACTGAAGAAGACGGGTCCGTATTCTGGGGGTACTTGTTGACCGGTCCCTCAACTTCGAGCAGCACTTTAAGGCGATCAAGAACGACTGCCGCAGTAGGATCAACTTGATCCGCACCATCTCTCGCCCCCACCGACAACTAACAATCACGACACTCGTTTCCGGGTTGCAAGTGCCGTCATCGATAGTCGCCTACTGTACGGTCTTGAGATGACGTGTATCGCCATCGAAAAGCTCGTGCAGATACTAGAACCAACTCTCAACACCTACGTTCGGATTGTCTCCGGTCTTCTTCCGTCAACGCCCGCCGATGCCGCATGCATCGAAGCGGGTATTCTGCCCTTCCGTCATCGTATAACCGCAGCCATTGCAACGAAAGCCGCTGCCTTTACAGCAATGACCTCCGATCTTTCTCCTCAATGAGGGGAACAGACTTCTCCGCATGACTGCCAAGGTCCACTGGTACGGAGACAAAAGTTGGTGCATACCTCCACCAAAAATCTAGAGTCGGATAAAGAGCAGGTTCAAGGCTGGAGATAACTCTGCAGCGCTGAGGAGAACAGTAGCCGAACTGCTAGGTTCGGACTACCCAACCTATGCCCACGTATACACGGACGGATCGCTTTCCAGAGCCGAGGTCGGAATTGGAGTAGCCGGAATTTCAGCACGGATGAGT